ACTTCCCATTGCAAGGGATTCTAATGTACTTGGCCCTATACTCACCTTAAAGGCAGGCAAACTGCAGTGAATTGATTGCACCTCTGATGTCCCCTGCACTTCCCATTGCAAGGGATTCTAATGTACTTGGCCCTATACTCACCTTAAAGGCAGGCAAACTGCAGTGAATTGATTGCACCTCTGATGTCCCCTGCACTTCCCATTGCAAGGGATTCTAATGTACTTGGCCCTATACTCACCTTAAAGGCAGGCAAACTGCAGTGAATTGATTGCACCTCTGATGTCCCCTGCACTTCCCATTGTAAGGGATTCTAATGTACTTGGCCCTATACTCACCTTAAAGGCAGGCAAACTGCAGTGAATTGATTGCACCTCTGATGTCCCCTGCACTTCCCATTGTAAGGGATTCTAATGTACTTGGCCCTATACTCACCTTAAAGGCAGGCAAACTGCAGTGAATTGATTGCACCTCTGATGTCCCCTGCACTTCCCATTGCAAGGGATTCTATTGTACTTGGCCCTATACTCACCTTTAAGGCAGGCAAACTGTAGTGAATTAATTGCACCTCTGATGTCCCCTGCACTTCCCATTGCAAGGGATTCTATTGTACTTGGCCCTATACTCACCTTTAAGGCAGGCAAACTGTAGTGAATTAATTGCACCTCTGATGTCCCCTGCACTTCCCATTGCAAGGGATTCTAGTGTACTTGGCCCTATACTCACCTTTAAGGCAGGCAAACTGTAGTGAATTGATTGCACCTCTGATGTCCCCTGCACTTCCCATTGCAAGGGATTCTAATGTACTTTGCTCTATACTCACCTTTAAGGCAGGCAAACTGCAGTGAATTTATTGCACCTCTGATGTCTCCTGCACTTCCCATTGCAAGGGATTCTATTCTACTTTGTTCTATACTCACCTTTAAGGTAGGCAAACTGTAGTGAATTAATTGCACCTCTGATGTCCCCTGCACTTCCCATTGCAAGGGATTCTATTCTACTTTGCTCTCTACTCACCTTTAAGGCAGGCAAACTGTAGTGAATTAATTGCACCTCTGATGTCCCCTGCACTTCCCATTGCAAGGGATTCTATTGTATCTGGCTCTCTACTCACCTTTAAGGCAGGCAAACTGTAGTGAATTGATTGCACCTCTGATGTCCCCTGCACTTCCCATTGCAAGGGATTCTATTGTACTTTGCTCTCTACTCACCTTAAAGGCAGGCAAACTGCAGTGAATTGATTGCACCTCTGATGTCCCCTGCACTTCCCATTGCAAGGGATTCTATCATACTTTGCTCTCTACTCACCTTAAAGGCAGGCAAACTGCAGTGAATTGATTGCACCTCTGATGTCACCTGCACTTCCCATTGCAAGGGATTCTAATGTACTTGGCCCTATACTCACCTTAAAGGCAGGCAAACTGCAGTGAATTGATTGCACCTCTGGTGTCCCCTGCACTTCCCATTACAAGGGATTCTATTGTGCTTGGCCCTATACTCACCTTTAAGGCAGGCAAACTGTAGTGAATTAATTGCACCTCTGATGTCCCCTGCACTTCCCATTGCAAGGGATTCTAATGTACTTGGCCCTATACTCACCTTAAAGGCAGGCAAACTGCAGTGAATTGATTGCACCTCTGATGTCCCCTGCACTTCCCATTGCAAGGGATTCTAATGTACTTGGCCCTATACTCACCTTAAAGGCATGCAAACTGCAGTGAATTGATTGCACCTCTGATGTCCCCTGCACTTCCCATTGCAAGGGATTCTAATGTACTTGGCCCTATACTCACCTTAAAGGCAGGCAAACTGCAGTGAATTGATTGCACCTCTGATGTCCCCTGCACTTCCCATTGTAAGGGATTCTAATGTACTTGGCCCTATACTCACCTTAAAGGCAGGCAAACTGCAGTGAATTGATTGCACCTCTGATGTCCCCTGCACTTCCCATTGCAAGGGATTCTATTGTACTTGGCCCTATACTCACCTTTAAGGCAGGCAAACTGTAGTGAATTAATTGCACCTCTGATGTCCCCTGCACTTCCCATTGCAAGGGATTCTATTGTACTTGGCCCTATACTCACCTTTAAGGCAGGCAAACTGTAGTGAATTAATTGCACCTCTGATGTCCCCTGCACTTCCCATTGCAAGGGATTCTAGTGTACTTGGCCCTATACTCACCTTTAAGGCAGGCAAACTGTAGTGAATTGATTGCACCTCTGATGTCCCCTGCACTTCCCATTGCAAGGGATTCTAATGTACTTTGCTCTATACTCACCTTTAAGGCAGGCAAACTGCAGTGAATTTATTGCACCTCTGATGTCTCCTGCACTTCCCATTGCAAGGGATTCTATTCTACTTTGTTCTATACTCACCTTTAAGGTAGGCAAACTGTAGTGAATTAATTGCACCTCTGATGTCCCCTGCACTTCCCATTGCAAGGGATTCTATTCTACTTTGCTCTCTACTCACCTTTAAGGCAGGCAAACTGTAGTGAATTAATTGCACCTCTGATGTCCCCTGCACTTCCCATTGCAAGGGATTCTATTGTATCTGGCTCTCTACTCACCTTTAAGGCAGGCAAACTGTAGTGAATTGATTGCACCTCTGATGTCCCCTGCACTTCCCATTGCAAGGGATTCTATTGTACTTTGCTCTCTACTCACCTTAAAGGCAGGCAAACTGCAGTGAATTGATTGCACCTCTGATGTCCCCTGCACTTCCCATTGCAAGGGATTCTATCATACTTTGCTCTCTACTCACCTTTAAGGCAGGCAAACTGTAGTGAATTAATTGCACCTCTGATGTCCCCTGCACTTCCCATTGCAAGGGATTCTATTGTACTTTGCTCTCTACTCACCTTTAAGGCAGGCAAACTGCAGTGAATTGATTGCACCTCTGATGTCCCCTGCACTTATGCCAGATCTATTCTGAAATTAAACTGGTTCATCATTTTCTTATAGGTTAACTCTACAAATGTCCATGGTTCAAATCCAGAATGGGTCATTCAATTATAATTACATGAGGACTAAACAGGATGCATGGTTGAGGAATTCCAAAATGGCTGTCTACATTGCTTTCAAAACAAATGTGTTCAATTAATAATATTCCAAGTGTTACATGTGAGTGTCCAACAATTGATTAAAAGTTATCAGGATTTGATGACATCATTGTTGATTATTTTCGATGTAGCCATAGTGAATAAAATCTAATGCACAAAATGTTTCATTCTTTATAAGACATATCTAATTGGCTTTATGACCTCAAATCTATCAGTGACAAATCAATCCTACTGAAATTACCTGATAGAATGTACTCCTAGCTGAAGTTGGATGTCTTTGGGGAATAGATGGCGCTCTCCTGATTGACTAGATGAGCTGTCACTGATGATGAACACCAGAGGGCATCGTCCTGTTGCCAGGTAACTCCTAAAAATACAGGTAAAATGTCTATATCACAACAATATTGAAAACTATTTTATTTGCATTTTTTAATTACAATAAACACTGGACAAAAATATTTTAATAATTAATGGAGAAATCGTGGAATAAATCATAGAGGAACATACTTCACACTCTATCAATTGTCTTGAAGTTCCTGAAAATGGGGCATGTTGAAGTGGGAAATGTGTACTTCATTCTTTCAATTATATAGAAGTTCCAGAGGAATAAAGTATAGGAACATACTTGATTGTCTTAATAGTATAGATGTTCCAGAAAATGAGGCACATTGCAGTGGGAAATATTTAGAAAAATTGAGGCAGAGTAACTCTTACCTTAGAGTGCTATGGAATAGAGTGGCATCTTTCAGAAATGCATTTGGAAATTCCTGAAATCAACAGAAGAAATTTCAATATTCGGTTTGGAGAATATAGATTTGAAGAAGTGCTTCTTTTTTGACTTTTGTAATAATCTAGTCAAAGAGATTAATACATGTTGTTTGGAATTATCATAATTTCGTCAAATACCATTCAATTTACAAAAGCTCAATGGCTGAATAATGGATGTAAGACGATCTTTACATGGGAATGGAAATGTTAACCCTTATCTTTGGCTGTTGGAATTGTATACATGTAGGTTTTGGAATATGCTTTCTTAACAATATTTGCCTCACCTCCGCTAGATTGATCTTGTTATGTGAAGCCTCTTGGTTGAATATCTGAAGTTTGTTATATTTGTTTGCCCTCAGTAAGAAATCAGAGAACTGTTTAATCTGGGACTGGGTGGCAACCTATCTGCATAATCTAGGGAGAAAAAAGACATTCATATTATATTGAGTACCTCCATGAAATGCCTTGAAAGTAGGTTCTTAAAGTCCCCGTTTAAAGTTTGAAAATATTTTTTTATCATTCATTTACTATTTGTCAGGACTTAAAAAGTGATTTTAGAGATTTTTGAGCAAAAAATTTTTTTTGAAAAAAAAGTTGTGAGCATTTCATTTCTCAAATATTCAAATTTCCCGCCATTTTCCAAAAAAAGTTGAAATTTCTTAATCATCAAATATTTCTTAATGCATTTCAAAAAAGATTATATTTTTAACACCAATGCAAAGATTGAACAAGAGACACACTATTTCAATATTAAAATGTCATATTTAATGGGCCACTTCAATGTTTTAGCTTATCAAAAATATTTTGAAACATTAGTGATGTCACTAAGGTAGTCAAGTAAGTAAAATGGCTGCCAGTTAAATGTTGCATAATTTTGCTCCTATCAATATCAAGTTTCAAGAGTGTTTAAAAGTATTTTGAGGAAAGGAACTACATTGGATTATACATGAACCTTCAGGGAACACATTGGACTGATTAAAACAATTGTGTGGACATTATCTACAAGGATATTTACAAGAAAAGTTCTTAGTTTTAAACAAAGGAAAAACAAATAATCAAACAAAGAGATTTCTTGAAATTTTTGAAAAACTTTTAGATAGCTTCAGCTAAACATCTCAGTGGATGATATAAAAACAATAACCTGGAATAAATCTCAGCTGAATGCCAAGTTGCAGGATCTGCACTATAGGCTTCAATCAGCTGACAAGAAGAAAGAAGATGAAATTCAGATGGCAAAACAACTCCATGAACAAGAGACGAGAGATCTGGCAAGTAAGCTTGAATGCTATGAATCAAACGAGAAGTGGCAAATAACTACAATACAGGGGCTTAAAGCAGACCTTGCAACACAACACAGGAAAAATGTCGCCCTTATTGAGAGGTTTCAACAGATGGGATGTCATGATTTTGATCAGTCACTCCCACAATCAATGTCGCCTCCAACCATTTCCCAAAAAGGACAGACTACCTCAAAAACCAGCATACCCAAGAGATTTGTAAACAAAAATCCTGCTACAAAGCGATTCCCCACTCATGACAATGAAGGAATATCAGCCTCTACTGCCAAGAGGCCTGTTACACAACCCCCTAACAGACCCCCCAAAGTACCTTCAAGGAGCCCCCCAAAACCATCCCCAAGAAAATATATCAATAGTTCCAAGCAGCTCCCAACAACTGTCCATATAATGTACTCCTCAAATGGGAAGAAACTATCAGGTATGATGCACAATAGATCAAAGGGGAAAAACATGAAAGTGACCTCATCAGTGTATAGTGGTGCTAACATCGAAGATGCCACCCGTATCATACAACAAGGTGACATTGGCAAATCAACAGATCACAAATTCCTAGGTTTTGGAACAAACAATGTTAAAGTTGACTCTGCTCAAACCATTACTTACGAGTTGAAAAATCTGGCAATTACAGCTCAAAACCAGCACCCAACATCCAAAATAACTCTATGTGGACTGCACCACAGGGCAGATCATCCCAATCCTCAGGAAGTGAAACAAATGAATATGAAAATAGACCAAGTCAATAGAGAGATGGAGTCTTTTGCCACGAAGAAAGGCTTTCATTTCATTAACATCAACAGAATTAACTATTCAACATCACTGGACCCTAACATGAATGTACTATATAATGACAAACTCCACTTTAACTTCACTGGAAGAACTCGGTTGGTAGATGCAATGTTGTCTATCATTAACTCAACACACAACTCCTATGCAGAGGCAGTGAGCATGGGAAACCCTCGCAAATCTCGAACTGGACTGAAGTTATAAACACTGATCAGTGTGATAGCATCTCAAACACAGAATGTATGAGTGATTCTTTAAATGAGATAAAACACAATTTTATTCATTTCCATGATTCAAATCATATGATAATGAGTGAAGCTCCATTTTGTGCAAATAATGTAACTCCAAATAATTCTGATTTGGGCCCCCACAATATGGAATTAAACACCACGTTAAGTCAAGTTTCCCAAAATGAAATCAATATTCAACCCTCTAGTCCTATAACAACACAGTTGAATGCCCAGTCGCAGGATCTGCGCTATAGGCTCAAATCAACTGACAACAACATAAATGGTAATTTAAAGCAAACAAATGATAATATGAGTCAAGGTGATATAAATTTTCTATTTTGGAATATTAACAGAATTTCCGATAAGTTATACGACGGATGTGATATTTATGAGCTCTTCAGTAAATATTCAGTGATCCTGTTAAGTGAGACATGGCTGGATCCATGTGACAACATATCATTCAATGGTTATACTGTACATAATCTCGCAAGAAAAACCAAAAACACTAACTCAAATTTTTATTCTGGAGGCATAGCTGTCTTCATAAAAGATGACTGTTATAATTCAATTGAAGTGCTAAAACAGACTCATGATTTCTTTGTATGGTTAAGAGTTAAGTCTTCTTTTTACAATTTAGAGAATGATATTTATATTTGTTTTGTTTATATGCCTCATAAAGGTTCAACTTATGAACATTTTGACAACTTTGACATTTTAGAAAAATCAATTGCCTCCTATCAACTTTCTGGTAAAACAATCATATGCGGAGACATGAATGCCCGCACTGCCCAGTTATCAGATATGAATATTGACATTCATGGATCGAATGATCAGTTTACCAATTCTTATTTTTTAAATGATCACTATATAAATAATAATAATCATCACCATGAACCAAGTGACCCTCTTCATAACCGTGTTTCAATGGATAAAAATATAAAGACAATAAGCCAGACACATGGCAATGAATTCATAAGTCTATGCAAGGCATCTAATTTAAGAATCCTAAATGGCAGATTTTTTCATGATAAAAACATTGGTCAATTTACATACTATAGATACATAAATGAAATTAACCTAGATCCAAGTAAGGGAAAATCTGTATTAGACTACGTTGCAGTTCAAGCTGATATACTTAATACAATTTCAGACTTTAAAGTACATGAAAGGCGTCCAGATTCTGACCACTGTCCTATAAATTTTAATCTTAATCTAGGTCAGGCCAAAATTAAAAATAAAGTCAGCAAAAATATGCAGAATTTACCTTACTCATACTTTAAATGGGATCATAAATTAAAGGAACAATTCACCGAGCTATTGGATGCAAATATCAACAATGGTTTACTTGAAAAATTTTATATTGATGTTGGTTCCAAAACTAATTCAGATTATTTACTACAGTCTCTTAAACATGTTATATATGACACTTCTGATAAAATACTCCCACTTAAACATTTAAAGAAAAGTACTAAAAAGTTCCCAATGAATCCATGGTTTAACAGTGAATGCAAAAAATTGAAAAAGGATTTACATTCTGCAATTAAGCAGAAGCTACCTAATAACATTATTGCTGATTTACAGAGAACGTATAACCAAACTAAACAGCGCGAGAAAAGAACATATCAGTCAAATCTTTTAAAATCTCTCATTTCTTTCAAATCTAAAAATCCAACAGAATTTTGGAAAATGATAAATAGTATCCCAGGTAGCAGTAATACAAATGAAATCCCTATTGAGGCATCAGAACTTTTTTGTGCTTTTGAAAAGTTGGGTAAGAATCCCAAAATAGACTATTTATTTATAGATGAATATGATAAAAATAGTGTTTTGAGCAGAGAAATTGGATTTAGTCATGAAGTGCTTAATAGCAATATAAAGGAAGCTGAGGTATATGCTGCTCTCAATAAGGTTAAAGTTAACAAAGCACCTGGAATAGATGGGTTATCTTCTAATATCATTAAGAATTGCAGTATATTAGTCCCTGAATTCACGTCCCTTTTTAATCACATCTTTTCTCATGGTGACTACCCTAATGAATGGAGTATAGGCATGTTAACAACTCTCTTTAAACAAGGTTGTAGATTTAATCCTGATAACTATAGGGGAATAAATGTGTTGACTTGTATCGGTAATATCTTTGATAGAGTAATACAAAACAGACTTGTTTTTAATGCTGAAATGTTAGATATCCAAGATCCACTCCAAGGGGCATATAAACCTGGACATCAAACAACAGATAATTTATATATTTTAAATACAATCTTAGCCCGTTATAAGCTCATGAAAAAGCCTCTATACTGTATCATGATAGATTTTAGAAAAGCATTTGACTATGTAAATAGAGTGGCGCTTATGTATAAACTTTGTAAATCAGGAATTTCACCTAATTCTAATATATTCAAGGTTATATCTAGTATGTATGAAAAATCAAAAGCATGCCTAAAATTTAAAGAAGGTATCACCCCTACTTTTGAAACAGATGTTGGAGTAATGCAGGGCTCTGTACTTAGTACCTATTTATTCAACCATTTCCTTGATGACTTAAAAGATAATTTACCAAAAGAAAATGGTATTCAATTTAATGGAAATATGTTAAACCATTTACTTTGGGCTGATGATCTTATCTTGATGTCAAATAGTAAAGATGGTGCCCAAATTTTGCTCAATTGCCTTTTTGATTTTTGTAAGAGATATCATCTCATAGTTAACACAATGAAGACAAAATCAATTATTTTTAACTCAAAAGTTGATGCAGTTTTCAGATTCAATGATAGTGCTATAGAAAATGTTGAGCAGTACAAATATCTTGGATGTGTATTAAGTAAAACAAAGAATTTTGACCAGCATGTATTTTACTTGAAAGAGCAAGCAAGGAAAGCTTTGTTTAAAGTTAAACAGCAATATAAAAAGTTTAATGACATTCCAGTTAATGTTGCATTGCACCTTTTCGATTCCTTAGTTGAACCTATTTAAACTTATGCCTCGGAGGTGTGGATCAATGAAAAACATCTGAAGTCAATAGAGACAATGCACCTATCTTTTCTTAAATGTCTGTTAGGTGTTAAAAAATCAACTTCAACACCAGCAATTTATGGAGAATTGGGACGCTACCCGTTAAAAATACGTTTTGAAATCAAATTAATTAAATATTGGCTCCGTTTACTTCACCTATCACCAGGAAACATTCTTCATAAAACATATATATATGACCGTGAAATGAGTCAATTTGGTTTTAAAGGCACTTGGTCATTGATATTTTAAAAAAGTGTGATTTATTATCTTATTGGGATACTCAAAAGATTGATGATGACAATATTTTTATCAAGACAATAACAAAAACACTGTATCAGAATTATAAAACTCAATGGAACAAAGATATATTAAATTACCCTGTCTTGAGAACTTATGTTAAATTCAAAAATGTCTTTGAAAGAGAGAGTTATTTAAATATCCAAAATAAAAATTACAGGCAAGCAATTTGTAGATTTAGGCTTAGTTCCCACAAGTTACATATAGAACTTGGTCGTCATTTAAAGCCAAAGCCAAAACCTGTAGATGAACGTTTATGTAATATTTGTGGTATTTTAGAAGATGAACAACACTTCATCATGATTTGTAAGAAAAACACTACAGAAAGAAAAATTTTGTTTGACACCCTTACACGATTTAATTTTGTAAGCAGTCCTGACATTATTTTTAAAAAACTAATGTCTCACAAAAATTCTTATGTAATTTTACATTTAGCAAAGTTCATCTATCATTCACTCAAAAAATTGGATTAATGTGTCAACGATGCATCACACTGATATTTAAATTTCTGTCAAGTTATATTTGTATTTTACAATTATCTTGTATTCTGTATTTTACATTTGATGATGTAATTAGAATTGTATTTGACAACAACTTTATTTTTGTATTCAATAGTTAGTTTAGTCTTAGGTCAGTTTTGTAGATTGTAGTTTTTAGTGACTAATATGTCATTGTAATGACATCAGAGAGTCAATAAAAGATATATATATAACAAAAACTTTTTGAAAAAAATTGAATTTTTTTTTCGATGTCAATCTTTTCTAAATATGCTAGACTTTCATAAAAAACCAATGTTGATTGTCTAACCAGGTTAAAAGGAAGAATAAATTATGTTTTAGATATCATTGTACCATTGGTTTCTAGGAGAACTAAAATTTTGAAATGCATTTTTCTCAGAACCATTTTCATGCACTGATAAGTTCATTTCTCGCTTGTTTATCAAGCGATTTTCTTAATTTTTTCGGCAAAAAACATGGGAGGATGTATGCTATGCATTGGTATGAATTGTGGCTAATTAGAAGATATGAGTGACCTCTAAAAGTTGGTTTTAA